CCCCAGAGTTTGGTATCATTGGCAAACTTGGCCAGTCCGCTTCAGACTCATTTGATCCCCCTCCAGTAATGAACTTCCTGTGTGCAAGAGTGTTTCCTATACATCAGCTTTAGTACTACAGGAATATCTGGATTTAAGTATTTAAGAAATGGAGAAAATGTGTCTCCTGCAGTAAGGTAGCAATAAACAAAACATATGCTAGAAACACAGAATCAGTTATCTGTACCTTGGTTGCAAATCCTCTACCTACCTACCTATGTGCTCTCTCTGTTCCCACGTAAGATGGTGGTCTTGTGACAAAAATTAAGTATGAACTTTTTTGCTGGAAAAAGGCCTTCCTGAAAACTAACAGATTTTTTTTTTTTTTTTTTGCAGGTGGGGGGGTGGAGATTTTAATTCTGTGCAGCTGTAAGGGCAGGTATACAACAAAAGCTGCTTCCTTTTTTTTTCTGGTTTTCTCCCTCCATAAATATCCCTTTCAAGTCAGCTTCCAGATATTTTGCAAAAGTATACATTTAGCAAAGTTCAAGAATATCAGGACTCCTTTTCCTCTTATTGCTGGACAGTGCTGTCCAGGTGTCTGAAGGATCCCATCAGGGAAGTTACAAGAATTTCCCACAGAAAGGGGAGATAGATGGGTCGGACTCTAAGGGAGGAAGAGCTATAATTCAGCCTGAAATATGACTGGTTAGACCTTCCAAACATGTTTTCTAAGGCAAAGAAAGGAAAGCGAAGACTACGGATGACAACAACACTACATCAGAAAAAAAAAGCATGCATTAAGTAACTTCTCTTTAAAAATGACCTTCACGTTATTCATTGAAAAGGACTAACAAACAGCTAAAGTAATGTTGTTTTTTTGTACTGTAGTTCATCTTCATTCCTAGTATGGGACAGGGAAAGTTCCTTCCTAATTAAAGCTTGCATTTGTGTTAATTTTTGTAACCAACTCTGAATTTCCTACAGCAGGGCTGGTTGAATTCACCATGCAAGCCATTATCGGCACTGCTGAACAAAACTGATTTCCTCCTAGTCTCAGTGCATTTATGATATCATTTTCAAAGGTTGTTGTCTGTGTTCCACCTTTACCCTTTACAAACCTTTCCCCATTATGGATCCAAGAGTGTAGTGAAGAGAGGTGTTTGAGGCTTTGAACATCATTATTCAGTCTGTGCACAAAACAGACTGCCTTGTGCACAAAACAAGGACGTAACTATTCATGTGGCAGCCTTAGTAAGCCTGACCCTAGCTTATTTACATTAAATCAAATGTAAGAAAATTGTTTCTGGCTGAGTCTGAACCAACTCCTGAGTTTCCACAATATTTAAGGATAGATATGGAAAGAATTGGACTTGAACAAAGGGAACAGTTAAGCCTGGAATTCAGAGAGAAAATCCCTACACTGCTAATGAACCACAAATAAAACTTTAGAAAGCTTTTTATTTTATAACCACTTAAAATATTTAACTTTTTCCATACACTGCCTTTGTTCTGTCAGGTTTAAATGTAGGATAAAACATTGGTGTTTAAAGCAGAGGTGTCAAAACACATGGCTTACAGGCCAGATCTGGCCCTGAAGCTGCTCCATCTGGCCCACCAGACTACTGGCAAGTTAAAGAATTTGGGGACATAGCTATCGGTGGGCAAGGCCTGCCACATAATTCAGGACCATGGAGCCCTGGTGGATATGGCCATTGGTGGCAGGCAGGTGAGTGAGAGCCATGCAGAGCAGCTCTTGGTTGCCTTGCAGCTGCCTGTCTGCCCCCTGCTATTTGCACACCTCTGCCATGGAAAGTAGTTGCCTGGCCCATGGCTGCTTGTCCCACTGCTGCTCTGGTGGCCGTTTCTGCCACAATGGTCAATGCTGCAATGGCACCCACCACCATTACCACCACCCCGTTCCCCTGGCTGGACCTAGCTCGTGAGGAGCCCCTACAGTCCTGATCTGGCCCAGGGATCCTGGTGAGTTTGATACCCCTGGCTAAGGAAAATGTACTCATGTTATGATTTCACAAATAGCCAGTAAACCCTAAATACATCAAAGGGTGCTCAGCATTCTTTTGCTACAGGGCTGGGGTCTTTTTTAATCAGAGGAGCATTTCCCATTTTACTGCTAAAACTGGCATGGAAACAAGACGACACACTGAAATACGTTCATGATAATAAATATTAGTTGCATTGAAGGATGAAGGAATTAAATGAATGGCTGAAACATTAGCTGTGGGAAAATATGGGAAAACCTAAACTAAGGCTGAGATACAGCCCTTGGTCAATGTCAGTTCCAATTTTTACTCACCTGTGTTAATGTGAATGTGAGGTGTCTGCTCTATTACTATCAGTTTACTTTTACTTTAGCTCAACTACTGTGGTTTGGGGGTTCAGGGAACTTGTTAGGTATTTAATTCAGATCTGTTTATTCATACTTGCAGAGAATCAGCATTTAATCAGGGCTCATTGTACTTTTATAATATTATTTTATCATAGTATGACAGTAATTATTAGCAACTAAAATTCAGAAAACCAGCAAAACATTTCCAGTGTTTTTAAAATTCCGAAGGCTGAAATGCACAGAATAAATTCAATAAAAGCATGAACAGGAGATGAGGAATATTTAGTTCCCAACAGCATGAACTCAGAAAATGTTGAAATGGACCTATAAAGTTGACTTACTCCGTGGGAGGGGAAAGCTGCTTGCTGTTAAAAGTACTGAAACATGCAGTGACATTAATAAACATGCTGGGAGAGATATGAAGACAAAAGGAACAGCGAGAAGAGAGTATCTCAGTTCTACCAGAGCAGAAGAGCTGCACTTGGACCAAAGAAAAGGTTGGAAGGAAAGCTATATTAAAAGAGAAACGTAATGCTCGAAGTACTAGGGAAATATCTCCTTTCATGCAACTCCCAAATGAAGACCTACACTGAGAGAGAGGACTGAAAAAACTTACAGCTTCTGTCAGTGTTCAGCCTAAGGACCAGTGATTCTATTGCTAAACATCTATGAATGAGCAAGCCTTAGGGATGATGAATCAAATTTAACCTGAGTTAAGTGGGTGTAACTCCGCTGACTGCAGTTGAGTCACACTTGCTCAGGGCCCTGACGTGCCCCAGTCTCCTAAGGCTATTTCCTTGAAGTACATTAAATGGAAAAAAGAGGAATTGGATCCAGGTGCTAAATAACAAGAACCCCTCAACAACCAGTTTTATTTGGCCCTTTTTTTCTTCCAAAGTAAACCAAAATTCTACAGAGCCTTCTCTGAATTTTGAATGGGCATTCTCTTTCATCTGCATGGATTTTAAAGATATTGCATCACATCTATGAACTACAGTTAATTTCCTAGTGTCATTAGCTAAAACTGCCCCTTTACATTAACCATATTGATCACTAGTTTTCTTTGCTACCACCCTCCAATCCAAAGATTGTTGCATTTCTTTGGTACTTTGTATAAGGGTCACAAACCTGGATCCCACAGATATTTTTGGCATAAGGTTCAAGGCTCTACACCCCTTTTCTAACACTCCAGTCTCTAGAGCTGATGGGCATCAGTCACATGCTAGGAATGAGGTAAAGCAGTCAAAGGGCTGCTCCAATTTGTGACTGCCTACAACGTGCATCAATCACCTTCCTACTCACCAGCATACCTCCTACCTTAGAAAGTACAATCAATTGTATGAAGCTGATTACACCAACTATCTGTCACTCAAGTATAGCACAGAGGCCAGATTTATGGCTGTTATATATTGCTGAGAAGGCCCAAGACAGCCATATTAAGTTCAAGGATAGTGATGTGGCAGCAGCAGCCAGGGTATTTGAGTCCCTGAGACCGTGACCCTTCCCCCCTACCTGCCCACTGTTCATCACTTGGCACTCCCTGCTCCTTCTGGTTTTGCTTACGGTACAAAACTTGTTTATTATGCCTCTGACTGTATATTTATCAGTGAAGTGGAGAAAGAAAAGATGTTGCAGAAACATATGATACTTTCCTGCAGTAAAACAGAAATGTTGGGCTCCTATACACATGCAGGAAGGCTGCTCCAACACACTGTAATTACAGTGCATCGGAGCACACTCAATTAATCGAGTCTGCTGAAGCGTGGTAATTACCATGCTCCAACAGAATCCAGCATCATGTGTATCAGTGTCCCTGCACTGAAAAATGGTGGCAGGGAGCTTCAAAACTCATTCAATGAGCTTGAGTTCAAAGCACCCCACCACCATTTTTCAGCATGGGGATGCTGATACACATGATGGTCCAGGCACTTTTAGTTAGTGTGGCTCTCAGAGCCCCCCACCTCCTGGAGCACCTCTGTAAACAGCCCCAGTTAGCAAAGCTGATGCCCAAATATCTTACTCTTATTCCATACATATGAAACTATTTGAAAAATGTGGAACACACAGAATATGGAAAACACTTTAGTAGATGGCAGCAACTCCATATGGGCTAAGAAGCAAAACTCATAAGACAAGCATCTGTATTTTCCCAGGGCATCTAGACTCATCACATTTCAGGTTTCTTAGTCTTTAATTCCTTTTCAAGGTGGCATTTGTCATTGTTCACCACAAATAGCAATTCCTTAAAACTCTCGGAGTCAGGTCCTGTGAGCAGCTGACTGACCCCACCTATTCTTCATTAATTTTAAGTTAAGGGCACTTATCACCTCCAAAGATCAGGCCCCAAAACCTGAATGCTCCTGAAGGGATCTCTGTTCCAATACTCCCTTTTCATGTCCATGTTGTGGCAAGGTATTTAGCAGAATTTGCAGATTCATTACAAACCTGACAGGGCTGCACCATGAGCTATAGCCTCAAACTTGCAACCTCTGGGCTGTTAACTGTGTACCTTAGCATGTGCACCACCCCAGACCCTGACTGCAGAGAATACCACTTAAGCTTTACACAGAGGTTTTTTCTGCTATCATGTTTTAATATTCCTATCACAAAGTTAAAGCTGTTGCTAAATGACAGCAGGAAAGGCAATTTGGAAACACCGTTATTAAATATAATGGAATGGAATGCTAAGTGTCTGCTCTGTGTCACTTAGTCATCATCCACCCCAGGAATTTATTAACTTAGTCAGAAGGAAAACAGCCATGTTTTCTAATGGAGACCTTACTGCTGATAATGCACTTGACAAATGTCCACGCTTCCTTGAGTAATGAGAGGCAATGTCATCAATATCTTCCTCTGTCACATCCAGGTAATCCTAAAAGACAAAAAAAAGTAATTTGATTGCTAATCAGCCTGATTCTCCCTCCAGGCACTTTTTCTGTTCAGAAACCAGAGCACTGCAGAGTTGGCCAGGATCTCTTCTTTGGTTCCACTGACTAAATTGCAAAGGGAAGAAAACAGCTAAAAAATACATAACTACTTTTATTCTTATTCATGGTAATGTTCTCTGGGAAAGGGTAAGAGGCTGTAAGCCTACAGCTAAGAATAGACATTGTGTCTGTGTTTGTTCTGGAATAAAAATATCCCCGGATTGGCATGTATATATATCATCCTTTTAATCAGGGTTTAGTGAGTGGCTTAACACACCATTACTTTTCTGCCACCGACTCAGTGATGCAATCCTCGGATAACCATTCAGAAGCACTTTGCAATGTCTCAGGATAAACTATTAGTACTTCTTATGCCATGAATCTTCTTAAGATGTATCCTAACACAAAGCATGTGGATATCTGAATTATTTTACTTTGCCCCAGGATAAAATGGTTTATTGTGGGACAAACGCGATGTCTGTTTGTAGCCTAAAATAATTCAAAGTTGCAGTAAGCTCACTGTTAAACTGTGCTTATTTCCTTTCTGTTCCAGTCAGGATGTTCCTGTATCCCATGAAAAAAAGACAACAGGCTTTCAGGGAAACCTGATCCATGCAGTCTCACTTATCACCTGGGAAACTCAGCTTTAGCAACAGTCAGCCAGACCCCTTACAAGGATAAATCAATGGTTATAAATCAATGGACAGCTCCATTGACTTTTCTCGTCTCTATTTTAGTGGAGTCATGTTGACTGATACAATCTTACAATCTGACACAGGAAAAAGCAGGTCTCTCTGATGGACAGTCTTAGGCCCCCTCTACACATTACAGTTAAGGTGCGATTAACCAGTAATCATGCCTTAAAGAGTGACCCACCTACACCCAATTAATAGCAAGATAAAACAAGCAATAAGCTACAAAATTATTCCACAAAAAATGTGAAATAACTTTGGAGCTTGTTCTAATGGTGCCATTAATTGAACGTGTGGCCTTCCCATGTGGTTGGGAGCCTCATCAACTGAGCGGTTCCCAGCCACAGAGGTGCACCCACCTGCTGCCAGCTGCCCCACAGCTGACAAGGCTCACAGGGGGACCATGCTGGGAATGTGGTGGCAACACTCCCAGCATGGTCCCCACTTTGACCCTCGTCAGCTGTGGGACTTGCAGAGAGGAGAACACTGCCTCCCTGCAAGCCTCATCAGGTGCAGAGCTCACAGCGAGGACAGCACCGGGAATGCTGCCATTGCTGACAGGCTCATCCACTGCAGGGCTTGCAGCATGGGCAGTATTGTCGGTAGCAGGGCTTGCAGTGGGTGCAGCGGGGAGAGGCAGCCAATCTAGGGACACAGCTAGAGCTGGTATGTAAATGTGGAATAAAAATCTAGAACCAGTATTTTCAATTTGAGTGATGTGTTAGGAAACATTTTGGGAATTTTCCTCCTCAATTCCACACGCACAGCAAAACGCTAACTATTAATATTTGCTGCCCATCTTGTTGACTACTACCAGATTCTTGAAGCTGTCTAGAACAGGGGCAGACAAAATATGGCCCTCAGGCCAGATCCGGCCCACCAGGGAATTCTATCCAGCCCATTGCAGGTCCCTCGGCCCCATCTGGCCCAAGCACAGTGTGCAGCCTGGGCTATGGCACATGCAGCCACTCCTGCCATCTCTGGGTAGGCGGTGGGGCAGGGGCACCACAGTGGCTGGACTCAGCTTCCTGGCAGCCCCTGTGGCAGTCGCTTACTCTGCCCAGCTGCCCCTGCCAGTCTGCCCCACACCCAGTGCCAGGGGTGCCAGACACAGTGGATGGGTGGGCAGGGTCTTGATGTTGACCAGCCTGGGACCTCCAAGGGCAGGATGCACTTGGCTGGGCAGATGGAATGGGGCCACAGGCCAGTGGGGAGTGGCCTCTGAGAACAGGATGGGCAGGTGGGGCCAGGATCATGGAGTGGTAACAGCATGGGGCTGGGGCCTGGGGCAGAGTCCTAGGCCAGTTTCCATTGAGACCTGCCCTGCCTGCCTGCCCACCTGCTCCGTCCATTGCCCGCGATGATGGGTGTGGGACAGAGGGGCCCAGAGCCAGTTGCTGCACTGGGTCAGCACCCCACCATTCTCTGGCCAGTAACAATTCACCAAAACACCTTAAGTGACCCTCCAACCCAAATAATTGCCCATCCCTGATCTAGAAGGATAACATTTTAACCTCCATTTTACACTACAACAATTATGTTTCTCACGGGTGCTATAGAAGTGCAGCTACATAATTAGTTACTGTTGCTTATTAAAGTTTGAAATGGTAGGAAATTAAATAACCTCCTTGTCTCTGCTGGGGTAATAAGAATAAACAGGATCCAATTATTATGGAAAATGGCTGAGAAATGATGAATAGTGATGAGTATTACTATAAAGTAGCAGAACCGGTGTTTTTACAGGCTTTAAAGCACTAATTTAGTTTAATAACAGAAAACATACATTTAGGGAGTTCTCTGACTTTAGAACAGAATGCCATAACCTTTTTCAACAGCTCTTTGGTAAATATATTCTAAGTATATTATTTTTTTTTTATAAAGTCTAACTGGTAATTATAATCAAGAAGCATCATAAAATCAGAGAAACAAAAGAAGAAAAAAGTACCTGTACGATTTTCCAGCTGCTCTCCCTAGTAATTATCTTTACTGAAACCCCTACAAACCTGCTGGGAGTAAGGCAATCACCTGACTCATCTGCTCTTACCCCCAACCTGCTTTTCACATATATATGGGGTAATTCCCACATCATTACCCACAGTAACAAGTTTCAACTAAACAGTGATAGACAATTAAATATGGTCCTTCCAAGAAATATCCCAGCTACTATCCCCAGAAGAACATGAAAAATGAAGCTGTGACCTCCCTTATCCGCAGATATTGATTTTTGTTCTGTTTTTCATCCTGCCTGATGACTCCCACAGTACCTCCAGGGACCTTAAATCATGACATAAGGCCGCAATTTTTATCTCCCACAATAAGACTGTTACTGTAATGCACCCCCATCAGCTCATACAAGGACTCCTAAGGCAAGTGGTAGGTCCAATTATCCCTTGGCTCCAGCATGGATTTCTGTCCATAAATACAGGACACAATTAGCTTCTAGAAAGGCTGGTTGACTACAAAACAATTTAAAATAATGGTGCTCAATGCAAGCCTTTTTGGATGGATCCAGCCCTCAGAGCTATGTCATCTGTCCTGTGGGGCTCCTCATGAGTCTAAAAGATTGCTGTTGGGGAGCAGTGGCAGCATTAATAGCCACAGCCATTAACATGTTCACAGCTCCTCCACACCATAGCAGTGAACACACAGAAAGGCCCACAGACCAAATGAAACGGCGCCAAGGGAATGGTTTGTGGCCTGATTCAGCACATGTGGCCAGCCCTCTGAACACCATCCAGTGAATGGTAGTGGCTCCACATGCCAATCTGGCCTGTGCTCTGGCACTGTGCCCTAACTTGGCCTGCAGAACTAGATGGGTTTGGCACCACTAATTTATAACACACTAGTGCCAAAGTGGCCCCAGTGTACAAAGGTATTGCACAAACATAGAAGCAGTCCCTTCTCCAATGTGTTTACAGTCTAAGATGACAAGGGACATTTGAAGGGTGAGGGGAGATAGCAATATAAAAGTAGATATTATAGTAGAACCTGGAGCCTTTGTGCATGGGGTGGGGTGTGCAACCCATCTAATCTGCTTGCTGTAGCTTTTACTTCAAAGGATGATGTTTCTCTGATCTGTTAGAGCTCATCAATGGTCCTACCTAGCTGATTAGGAAAGAGGCACCCTTTGAAATAAAAGCCACAGCAAACAACTTGAGCACCTCAGTGGCTGTATACCTGTGGCTGTATAACTCTCACCAACTACTTTGCAAACCCTTGTCTTTGAAAGGGGAATAAGAAACCTAAAGCTGTGAAGACTCTGTGTTGTACTGTAGAATAGAGGCATGGAGTATGAGCTAGTATAAAACTAGAATAGACAAGCAGAGAGTGGCAAAGTTGAAGATTTTTGAAAGTGAGTAGCTGAGCATTAAAATTAGCTTTTAAAAAGTAAGAATTATCAAAGATTTGGAGTGTATATAATAAATTGTCAAATGAGACTTGATCTATCTATAGATAAAAAAAAAATCCCAGAGCTTTGTTGTGTCATGCAACACAGACAGAGCACTTTAACTGTGGATATTCTTTGGAATCAAACCATACACATCACACATGGAAGATAATATTGCCCAAAGCTATTTTTTTTTAAATATCCAAGAAACTGATGCATCTTCTTAAAGGACAGTAGAATCCCACCACAAGACATGTGGGCCCATCAGTCCAACAGTCTTCTACTTTGATCCCAGAGTTCCCATCAAGGCCTATAAGTCTATATTTCAACATTTCTCTACTATGTGGTGTTTTGCATTCTGCAAGAGTTCCAGCATAATCTGGATATAGGCTTGAATTCTCTTTTATACAAGGCTGTGTCCTCTCTTGAGAAAAAATAGATATATAACTATCGTGCTGATTTCAGAAGCCACAAAACATTTTTCCTACTACGTGCGGTAATTCATTTCTAACTCACCAGGTCCTGGTCCAAATCTCCAGGTACAGATTTGCTTCTTAAGCTTAAAGTATCTTCATTTCCTTCTGAGAACGATTCACTCAAATCTATCTCAGACCTACTGCGATCTGAAAAAACAAAGGACAAATTAAAGCATTCAGTAGTGTAGGCAAGATTCTTTGAGCAGAAGTAATATCTTTTATTAGACCAACTAAGTGGTTGGAAAAAAGTTTTTTGCAAGCTTTCAGGTGCAATCACCTTTCTTCAGGCATAGGAAGTCTCTACTGTTCTGAGACTACAAGGAATGAAAGAAGCTAAAAATGTGACAGGATGTCAGTGAAAATGTAAATAGGTAGAAATTAGGAAAACAAAAGGTAGAGCAGGGAAGGGAGGGAGAAAAAAGAGGGGGGAGCCAATTTACTAATGTATAAGTTTACATAGCAAGTTTATATAACAAATATGATCACTTTATGATTACTGTATAATCACAAATATGTTCACTTCCCATATGACCACTTGTAAAAGAAGCTGCAAAGTCAAAAATGAAACTGAACTAAAACTGTCCCTCTCTGGCTGTGTACATTATGAAGCCCACCATGGCAGTGATTCTCAACCAGGATGCTGTGACACTCTGGGGTGCTACCAGATCCCTTGAAGGGTGCCAGGAAATATGAGGAGCTAAGCAGGTAAATCCAGGCTCAGGCTTATCCCTGCCTGGAAGATCACTCATCCCACCCCCCTGCCTTGCCCCTTGGCATTGAGGTAACCACTGTCATATATTAATGAGTTTTTGAAATAGGATGCCACTCAATTCACAGTTATGAAGAGGTGTCTTGAGTCCAGTGAGGTGTGCCTCAGGTCCAAAAAACGTTGAGAACTGCTGCACCATGGTATCCAAATAAAAGCTGGATAATGGAAAAGTAAGTTAAAGCTAGGAAGCTCAAGGAATCTCTGTCATTGGAAGTTTTAAAGTGTAGATTAGATTAATGTTTGTCTGGGCTGGTTCTGAGAGGGATGATCCTCCCTCCCGAGGAGGGAGTTGGACTTGACAACCTCCTGAGATCCCTTCTGGCTCTACTTTCTTATGATTCTAAGGCCTTGTGATGCTGCCCCACAAAGCAGCTAAATCATTTCCTGCACCAGCCCATCACTATGTAATAGGGGTGCACCGATAGAGATTTTGGGGGCCGATACCAATAGCCAATTTTTAAGGAGGCATATCGGCCAATATCAATCTGATATTCAATACAGCTGCATGCAGCTAGCAAGTCCGTTGGGGTGGAAAGGGAGTGGGGAGGGATGGGGTGTGGGATGGCGGGGCAGATCAACGTCCCCCACAGTGAGGGAGGGAGGGAGCGAGGGTGGGCGCTGCCCGGGCAGGGTGAGACACGGGACAGAACCGCGGCTCATCAGGGGGAGGCAGCTCCTGCTGCTGGTTACAACCTGGGAGGGCACAGGGAGGTGTGTGCCCCCCCAGATCTGCATGGGCCAGGTAGGCTGCAGCTGTGGGCGAGAGCTAGGGCTGCACCAGGCACATCTTGGTGGGGGCTGGGCTCAGGGCAGGGACTACAGAGGGGGCCCTCAAGACACCCCTCCATAACTGTGAATTGAGTGGCATCCCATTTCAAAAACACATTAATATATGACAGTGGTTACCTCAATGCCAAGAAGCCATCCCAAACTACACTGTAGGCCTGCTCCCAGAGCCACCACCACCACGTGCCTGGCACAGCTCCAGCTCTTTCTGGCACATGTGTAGAGTCAGGGTGTTGAGCTGGGGCTGTGCCGGGCACGTGGTGGCACTGGGAGCAGGGCTATGGCAAAATTTGGGGTGGCTGCAGCCCCCTTCGTAGTCTCCACCCTGAGCCCAACCTCTGATGAAAAGAGCCCAGTGCAGCCCCGGCTCCAGCCCACAGCTGCAGCTCACCTGCCCCACCCCATACAGATCTGGAAGCACAAGCTGCCCTCCCTACCCTCCCAATGCCCTCCTGGGGTGCAAACAGCAGCGGGAGCTGCCCCCTCCCCTCTGCCTCAGCTTGCCAGCCTGGGGCTGGCATCTGGCCACATCCGTGCCCTCTCTTCTTGAGCGAGGAGCAGGGAAAAGCCTGGCAGGGGCTGCTGTGCCCCTGCCA